ATGTGTATAAGAGACAGAATATGTATACGGTTTAGGCGTATTATTTTGGATATTATATATCCAAAATAATATAATCTATACGGTTATTCGGATTTATTTAAATTGACAACAATATGGATTAGAATATAATGATTTTAGATTGGAAATAATCCGTAAAAATTATATTAAAATTATAATTATGTAAAATTATAATTCGTTCGGAATTAAAACTGATTACTTTTTAATCCGGGCACGGATTGAACCGATTAAAACCGATTAAAATCAATTAAAACGGATTACGTTTTAATCGGTTTTAATCGAACATTTTTAGCAGGGATGTGGCGCGAAAACCGTACTGAGCGGCCGACTATTCGCAAACGAACTCAGAGATGCGCAAACAACGAGAGTGAAAATAGGTAAGTGTGTCGCCTTCGGTAGCGAATAGCGGACTAGTCAGCGCGGTTCGGGAGCGGGAGCGAACAGCTGTTTTTGTAAATCTATGACAGCGATATGGGGATTTGTTGATGACGTCGTCACTTCCTGTTTGTGACGACCGATAGCGACAGGGCCGTATCTTGGGTACAAGGCGAATCCTCTACATACCGCCCGCCTCGAATGGTTACATTCGATATTAATGTGACTATCAGTCGGTGTCAAGTAAGATTGATCGAGAACGCTCCAAAAGTGGTTTGATCGTAAATATTTACAGCTATAACAAGATAACGGAAACATTGAGATTACGTAGAATTATATACAGTGAGTTTAACCTTGCGAGCCCGTGAGCTATGGTTCGGGGTGCTATTTACCGTTTATCGCACGTTGTTATGCGACAGCCTGATCGACTGCAACACCGAGAATAAGCAAACTCAAGTTACTGTTCCACAGTTCTTCAGGCAATATTATACAAAAAAAAAGATAACGGGGCTAATTTTGGTCGCCTGACGTGTTGCCTCAGCCTGCCGTGGCGGGCGACGCTTCGACCTCTTGGTTTATATCGACCCGTAGGAAGCAGATTTTAGCTATGGATCGCGTGTATTCTGAGCGACTGGTTTGCACTGTTACGACGCGAGTTAAACCATCGCTGCCATAATGGCATTTCCGGATCCGTTCAAGCTCCCAATGACTCGGGGGCGCTAACGGATTGCGCACAAGTACCAATTGGCCAGACGTTGCGCGACGCGCCACTTCGGGCGTTGCTAAAGGGTTTGCAAGTAATTGCTTAACCATGACTTCCAAAAACCTTCGGTGATCTGTCGCGTTAATTGCCAGCGCGATAGGCGGTTCTCGTTGTAGTCGAAGAGACTTGGTTCGCGCAACGCTATCAGAGGAATTCCGACAAGGAAATGCCCTGGGGTCAGCGCATCGTCAATATTTTCGGAGATGGCGGCGATTGGCCGCAAATTTAGACACGCTTCGATTCGGCAGAGGACGATCGTTAATTCCTCGTACGTCAAAGTATGGGTATCGATACAGCGTTTTAAATGGTGTTTGACGCTCCAAACTCCGGCTTCCCACAAGCCGCCGAAGTGCGGCGCGGCGGGAGGTATAAAGTGCCATGACGTTTTCTCACTCGCTAGCATGTTGAGAAAATTTGGCTCGCGAATGGCTTTGAAATGTGCTTCGGACATTTCGCGGTCGGCTCCGTGGAATGTCGTTCCATTGTCGGAGTAAAGTTTTGGGGTCGGCCTTGTCGCAAAATGAATCGATGGTACGCGGCGATAAACGTCGAGGCGGTGTAATCGCTTACAAGCTCGAGGTGTATCGCCTTTGTAGTAAGACAAATAAATAGTGCAATGTAAGCTTTGTGCGACTTATGTCCGCGACCAGGGGCGGTTCGAATTGCGATCGGACCTGCGTAGTCAACACCGTTATGAATAAAGGCGCGAGAAACCCGATTAATTCGCATTTCCGGTAGGTCTCCCATGAGCTCGGTTGCGATTTTAGCGGATTCGCGAGCGCATCGTACGCATCTGTGGAGTACCACACGCACGGTTGCGCTAGCGCGCAAAATCCAAAATTCCGCGCGCAGGGACGCAAGCGTGAGTTGCCGGCCTTCGTGCATTGTTCGAAGGTGGTGATGCTCAATGAGGAGTAACAAGAGGGGATGAGATCGGAGCAGGATCGGGTGTTTCACCGCTTCTGGGAGATGGGAGTGGCGCAGTCTTCTCCCCGCACGGAGAATTCCGTGAGCATCTAAATACGGATTGAGCGCCACGAGCAAGCTTGATTTTGGTAGCGGACGTTGAGCCGCTAAGTTCGATATGTCCTGTTTGAATAATT